TCTCTCTCTCTCTCTCTCTCTCTCTCTCTCTCTCTCTCTCTCTCTCTCTCTCCCCTTCCTTCACTCTCCTCTCTGTGTTGCCGAGCGATGGCGGACGCGCGGGTGAGGTGGGCGCGTGGGCACTCTCGCGCTTACCGAATGGCGTGAGTGCGAGCCAGTCCGATTCAACTGTAGGGAATTCTCTCCGGTGTGCAAGGGATTCTTTTTTTTTTTCTTTCTTTCTTCTTTTCTTCTTTTCTTTTTAATTTCTTTGTCACTATCCTCGCCAATTTCGGAGTGCAAAATCACGAGAAAGCATGATGCCCTCGAATTCCAAAAATAAATGAATGAACTTGAGAGGAGAGAGAGGGAAAGAAGAAAAAGTGCAAGGAATATGAGCGAGAGCGATATAACGAAAACCAGGTTGCAAAATCACGCAGAAGTCCAGATAGTCATGTAACAAGCAGAGAGCTCAAATGCACCAAGATTCCATCCAAATCAGAGCAATACAATGAACTCGTGAGGCAATGTTCAAGCCCTCAACCCACAAGAACACGGTATTCAATGTCGCTCCCTTTGCCTGGCGTCCAACACCCAGCCTACTCTACCCATCCTACCTAGCCTATCTACATTCATGCAACAGACTCACTTCGAGTTTGAAGACCAATGTGCATGACGTGACCACCAATACCGACCTCCCACATACACCAGGTACGTACTCTCGACTCCCCTCATCACCCTTGTCCACCCACACCTGCGCCTTCCTCCTGAAGACCACCATCACCTCCACCTGCCCTCGCGCCTTGCTGCCCTGAAGCGCCCCTCACCACTCAGCGCCCGCTGTCGCACTTTTTCTAGTCAGGCCACGTCTGGCGACCAGAAAGCCAGCAGGCTGTCACGCAGGATTTTGGAAACTTTTGCAATAATTAATTAAAGCAAATCCCTTCCAATTGTGTGCGTCCGACTTTGAGCAAGACCCTTCAATTGCGGTCTTCGCCGGTCCCCGATCTTAGGAATCTTTTATTTTGATTCGGAACAACAAAAATCATGCAATTAATAATGATAAAAATTTAGTGTGCCATGCATGTATCGACTCTGCCAATTCACTAATTCTGAGAACCGTGACAAATTCATCAAGAACGCATAATTTCATGCAAAGTCAATGCAAAGGAAAGTGAGACTGACTAACTTAAGGCACAGGCAAGATAAATGAGGGAAAATGAGAGCTCATAATAATCTCATAAAGTACAGATGAATAGGCATGGCCAACATTCGTCAAGAGTCGTCACTCATCCCTCTGGGGTCTCATCCTCAGTCTCTCATTTGGTTGTGCGTCTCTTGTGCTTTGAGCCATGTCCGCGTACTTCCTGAGACTGCGACCAAGAGATGTAGAGCCACCTAAAGCCTGCAAGTTCCAAACATCTCTAATACTCTACAGGAAATAGAGGGTCTCGCGTGAACGTCCCATGCGAGCCCCCCAGGACAGTGTTGGGAAAGGCCGAACCGGGCCCAGGGCCCATGCGAGGAGCAGGCGGCGAACCGGTGCGGAGATCGAACAGGGCAGAATGTAGAAAACGTGGGCAGCGGCGAAATAGTGCGGAGGTCGAACGGGGCAGGCTATAGGAAAGGCCGGCGGCGGCGAAACGGTGCGGAACGGAGGCTGAACAACGCAGGCAATTGGCGGATGGCGGTTGGACGCAGTTCGAAACCATGCGCAGGGCGAGCAGCACGAGGCGGCTGATGCGCACAGGGTAGAGAGAGAGAGAGAGAGAGAGAGAG